ACGACCTGCACAGTCGCCCCAGGCGGTGCTCTTTCGGCGGCTGCGCCGTGAACATCGGAGCTGGCGGCAGCAACTCGGGACACATTAAGATGGTGGCCGGACAGGACGGCCAGCGCCGAGAAAAGCGCTGCAGTTTCGGAGGTTGCCGCGTCAACATCGGGGGCAGTAACTCCGGTAGCATCAGCCTCCTCGCCGACGAAGCCCAGCCGGCCCCCACCACAGGCCCTACCCAGAGCTCGGAGGGCACCATGGCGCGGACCAAGCGTTGCTCCTTCGGCGGCTGCAGCGTCACCATTGGGCGCGGCGGCAGCAACTCCGGCTCCATCCGCCTCCTCACCGAGCCCTCCGAACCGTCTGCCAACCTGCTGGCCTCCGGGGACGCTCTCCTTACGAGAAACAAGAGGTGCAACTTCGCCGGATGCAGTGTCCACGTCGGCGGCAACAACTCTGGCAGTATTAAGATGCTGCACGAGAACAACGGGCTTGCTGCCGCGGCCTCCTCGCCGGAGGAGCGCTCTACGGAGGCATCAGCGGAGACGAAGACGCGGTCAAAGCGCTGTTCCTTCGGGGACTGCACTGTCATCATCGGCGGCCGCAACACGGGTACGATCACTAGGGCGCGTAAGTTCCATTATTATGTATCGTAACCCGCCTAAAAATTGATTTTGACCAAAATCGGTGGAAGCGTGTTGACGTTTCCTTCCGTTTTTAGCCCGCCCTTTTGCCTTGGAAAAGCTATATCTCGCGGGCTTATGCAAGCGACCTCGTGTCTGTCTGTGTGTCTGTCTGTTCCACTAGAAGGAGATGTGTTAGAGACTTAAAATTTTCAGGGTATCTTAAGGTTCACTCCTAGAAAACGAAGGGCCCACAGCAAAACCCTGGCAACCACCTCTCAGAAGCTGAAAGGGGGTATCAAAGAAAATGAAGCAGGTCATAAAAGTCATTTTTTTTTTTGTTAAGATCTCCTAAGCGGTGACTCGTCACAGTAGGGTCCTGTAGCCAAAAATTTCGTCCGTTTGGCTCTATCCTTAACCGTTTAGGAGGGTCTTTTTTGACAAAAATAAGCTAAAAATTGCTGCAGTGAACAATTAGCTGTAGAAGAGGGCCAAAAATCCGCAAAAGAGGAAGGAAACTCCCACACCCTACCCCCCAAAAAGTTTTCTAAGCATAAGGGTGGATTGTAGTCGCGGTGCTTCATTACATCGTCTCTACGGGGCAAATTTTAAGGACGACAGATTTTTGCGGGCCGAGGGCCCGTTACAGTATTCGACTATGTTCTTAAGGAAATTGCGCGCAAGAACCATCGCTGCCGGCAGGTCCGGCCCCTGCCGAATGGAGTTGCCGGCGGAGCAAAGCGGAGCTGGCAATTCCGTTTGGCGGAGGAGCGGGCCTGCTTGTTTTCACTAATTTGCATCAATATATATTTAAACATTACTGCCAGTTTAATATTAAATCAGTGTAACAAACGAATAATGCACGTTAATCCTGCACAAAATTTTAATGTTTTACTGACAAAAAATCTCGTATGCGTCTTACAGTGCAAGATATATATACCAACTAAAATTTACACTGAGTTAGACTGGTCGACATTCATTGTGTTTGTTTTACAGATCATATGATTGAAGGAGCAGCAGGAGGTGCCGATGTTGAATCTGAAGTTGGCCGTTACGTCTACTGGCCGAAGTACAGCGTACAGCAATAAGCCTGGGTATATCATTCCTTTAGGCAAATCCCCTTTGGACCTTAATCAGTGAAAAAAACCTATGGACAATATCGCCATCATGCATTCAAAATGAGTATTTTTATTTTTTGGTCTGAAGTCAAATGAAACATGTATAATGTGTACAACTTTTTGCTCTTTAACTCGGATGAGATTTAACACTATAAATAACTTAGAGCAATGTCTTGTGTAGCTATATGGGCGTTTGAATTTATCACGGACTTAAGTATTTCATTAAGCATGCGGCACTTGAGTATGCATGATAATGTTTAAGGGAAGACTATGCTGAAATTGACATTTCCATGATTAAATAAGAAGCGCCTTTCGAAATATTATTTTTATGTCCAGTTTGAAGAAAAAATAATAGAAAAGTTGTGGGGTCTCTAAGTTTAACTGTTTAAAGGTTACAGTGATTGGTATTAGTTTGCAGGGTCTTACTAAAAAGGTTTCTGCGTTACAATAGTAAACGTAAAAGGCTAAGGTAAATATTTTTGAAATCAGAAAAGATAAAGGAACAGCTTCTCTAAGCCAGAATTGCAATATTATGTCTGATTTTAGTTTGTCCCTTATGTCCCTTAATTGATTGGCGGCTAAAATAAATGGCCTAAGTAATAGGGCATTGTTGCTATGGCCAACAACAACAACGTTTTGGCCGCATCCGAGATACGCCCTACTGCTCACTCTACCAAGGGCAAGAAGTAAGAAGTTGTTGTGCTACCGAGGATTCCAGTACTCGCAGCACAGCAGGAAGGGGGAGAACCAGTACTGGGGTTGTGTGGAGGGCAAAGCATGCAACGCGCGGTGCCACACGAATGCAGGCCTGGGCAACATCGTCATTGTACTGTGTTCGGAGGAGAGCCTGCGCGTCCTCACCTGGGGCGAGACACATCAACATCAAACAACCGACCAACAAGAAGTACGAGATGTGCCAGCGGCGACTGCACAACCTGGCCAACAGCTTCGAAAACTACAAGGAGAGGGACGAGGTCATGCGCTACCTGGAGGCTATTGCGTACAATATTAAAATCCAAGAGTGACTTGGACTTGGACTTGGACAATAAACTATGTACTACGTTGGCCCTTACTTCATTTGCCATTTTATGTTATTGGCCCTCATCGACTAGAGAACATTGTAAGTGGGGGGACCAAGTAACGGTGGCCATTTTTTTGGCGGCCATTTCTTCGTGCAAGCAGTTCTCGCTCTTAATGATACAAAGTTACGATACAAATTTGAGCCTCCTAGCTCAAACCGTTCTCAAGTTATCGTGCGTACAGACAGACACAAACACACAGATACGAAACTTTTTGATGATCACTGGTGTAATAGGCTTCGCTATCGCTCAGCAGACAAAAAGTCTAACTTGGAAATACCGTCAAAGTGTCATATTCCGGACAAATTTGACCGTTTTTCCTCAACATCTCTAAAACCGGTAGGGGTATGAAAAATTCCAGCGGATTCTAGAAACTAGGCGCCAAGAGACATATTTTTCATCTGGCGAGGAATTTTTTTTGCGCCAGTTCACCTGCACAAGCCTCTGAAACCCCGTCCGGATCTAAACCATAAGCCGGGGCAAATCCGGACAGTCCCTATTTTTGCTATTAAATGGCAGAAGAACAGGTCGATATCTGCGTGCCAGTGTACACCAACTTAACCCGTAACTGCGGAACCAGAGTGATATTGATGTTTTCGAGGCAAAATTGATCCATTACAGAAGTTAAGCAACTTCTGCAAAAGTCAGTGCTATTTTAGTAGAAGGAAATTGGTTTCGCAAAATACGCAATAAGAATGTGTACAACAATCTTTACCTCACAGGACTTTGTCAAAATTGAAAATTTAGTGCATTTTTAACTAAGATTTGTAAGTGAGAGATCGAGTGAAATACCGTACAATCAATATTACGCGCAAAAGTCCGCAGGATATTAAAAATTTTCGACTCCAGCTTAGTGACGTTAAAGCTGTATCTAGTGACCGTGGCTAGCATTAGTGCTATGCGGCACACGCATTGTAGTACCGCTTCACAGTGTGTGTACTGGTCGGGTCCTATTATTCAAATTGCACTGCTCTGGGCGGCTCTAAAATATGAAACTACTAATTATTTAAATCTCCATAGCCTCCCGGAAAAGTATCTCTCTAAATTATGAACCTACATTGTGTAATTTGCTGTAAAAATGCAAAACAAGGAGTGTCCGGAATTAGACACTTTGACGGCACTTTCACAGTTTGAATGAAGTCCAGTCAATGTCCAATCAATATGGTGTTTAGAAGTGTGCGAATCACCCTTTTTCAAAGGCGAATCAAATCAATTATGGATATTTTTTTCCCGAATCGAATCGTTTCCTTACATTTCAGGAGATGCTATGAACCATTCAAATGGGGCAACCAATAAGTATTGGGGCACAGATTCTCTCTAAAAACAAAGAGATTGGCAAACCATCCTCTTATCCAATGAAAAACCTTCACTTTAGGGTTACCTAGCGTGTCCTCCATGTGCACATGTCGTTTCGATTTCGACCTTCAAAATGTTGATGCGTCCGAATTGTTCGAGTTCGAAGTGCCTTTGTTTCGAGATCGAAACGAATCGAATAGGGACAGTTTCGATTCGAATTCGAACTGTTCGCACACCTCTAATGGTGTTCTAGGCTAACGACACTGGAAAGTGGAAAAGATCAAACTGACTGATTATACGGTTTCCGTTTTGTCTTTGCTTGGGCGAGTCGGTCACGTGCCTCTGCGGCCTTTCAGGTACGAGGAACTACCAGATACGTTTCGGTTTTCCCTTCATATTTGAGAGGTTGAAATCGGGCCAAACTACCATGATAATTTTGTCAAAGTCAGCGGACGGCAATAGAAGCATCAGATGAGTTTGTTCTTTTTCACTTCCGTTTTAGGTAGACTGGAACACCCCTTTTCCATTCACTTAATAGATTCTAGACAGTGTACAATTACTATAGCAAGTGAGGAGCCCCTCGTAGGCAACAACCGCAAAAAAAATTGCAGTCGATACGGTGATAAAAAGCCCAGATCGTGGTAAGGCATCACACATCGGATCATTCGTGGTCTAGGTCAGTGCCAAAGAGGCAGCCCCACTATCACTGTACAGTACGCTTATCACATCGGCACTGCGGTTTCCACACTTAGGGGGCGTGCACAAATTACGTAATAGGCTTAGGGGGGGAGGGGGTCGGCCAAAAGGTGACAGCCGATGACAGGGAGGGGGGGGGGGGTTGCCCCGAAAATCGATGACGTGATTTGTGCACGCCCCCTTATCAGGCAAAAAACCCGTCCAGATATCAGGACACTCGACTCAGCTATACTGTACTTTTGTAATATTACTAGGAAGATGTACGCCAGACCACGTCTCGCGCAACAGGCTTCGTGATATGTCACGGAACACTGTTACGCTGCGACGCGCCTGGCATACATCTACCTAGGCCTGCGGCGCTGACACCGGAGTTGGGCAAAAGGCACGGTCGTGAATAGGCCTTGGCCCCAAAGGTCACAAATTTTGTACCTCGGGGTTTTACTTTGACGAGTTACCCCACCGGAGACCATAAAATATCTGAGAAAAACCATTAAAATGTTTTGGGGTGATTGACGTGTGAAGAACGCCCTCTGGCGCCCAAACGGTTAGAGATAGAGCAAAACGGAAAAATTTTGGTTCAAAGGATTCTACTTGGACGAGTTCCTTCAAAGAAAGATGTTAAAGGAGAAGTTTAATAATAGAAATGTTTTGGGCTCTTGGTTATTAATTTTTTTTGACAAGCAGAAGGGTGGGTTGTAGTCGCGGTGCTTCACCGTTACATCCCACACGCAACGCAATGTGTTCTTCCCGCATTTTATTACTGGCGTGTACATATTTAGGGCTATGTCTAGTTTTCAGACAGACATCAAAAGAACTTTCTCAACCAGAGGCATACCTTTAGTCCCGGCCTCTACCTCTTCTCTCCTTTTCTATTCTGTAGCTGAAGCAGACGCGGCTGCAACATTTTGTGGGTGTGGAGCAGTGTGGAGGGGTGGTTTTCACCACCCGCCACCGCCAACCCGGCCCGTGTGGCCCGCGTCTGGCAGGTAACGTCAGTGGTCCTGGGCCGGGACCCCAGGTACAGACAGTGTTTCGTTAACATTGAACCGGTCGTAACAAAACTAGGCTGATTTACTTTATAAAGGGGCGGCCGAGCCAGGGTGGGGATCTCGAGCACAACCTAACGCAGGCTGTGCCGCTGCGGGGCGGTGGACGGCGGCTCCCCAAGTGCGCCCGGGAGATCCCGGAGGCCGTCGTGCAAGTGCGGGGTGGCCAGGTCAGAGAAGGAAGCTCAATCACCTCCTGGCGTTTTGTTTCATCAATTATTTTTTCGCATTTTAAAATTGTTATCATTTTTTATAAATATAGTTCCTTTCAAACGACATTATTTATTTCAGGGCAGCACTGGACTGGCTTGAACCTTTTTACTAGGCCCCCGTTAGGAGTGCCTTTTCCTTTCGGTAGGAGGATTTTTTTTTTACTATTATTCATGACGATTGCCCCTTATGGGATAGCCATTCGTGACTAAATTTTAATGACAAATAGAGTGAAAAATTACGAATTTTTGGAGCCATGTTTGATGTCGTGTTCATTGATTGGACTTTGAAACATTTAAGTTTGCATCAACGAGTTACCATGGAATTGACGAGCTGAGCTGCAGCCCGAGTCGAGCCGGAGAAATTTAAACCAATCACAGATTTGCGCGCTCAAGCTAAATCAATAGAAATGATCACCTGTTGCATTGTACAGTCCTTTCCAAAAATAAGTATACCTCTTTTCTGCTCGCTGTGGTCACGTTTAAATAATACTAGCCACTCGCCGTGTAAAAAGATTCATCACAGACGACGATTCGAACGCGACCACTGCCAGTTTTGATTTTTGGTTCGGACTTTTCTTCCGCCTTCTAACAATTTCGTTTCAAAAGGGGCGGGGCTTCAGAACAGTCTACCGACATACAACTAGCAAAAAAGACAATGTTTTCTGCTATTAAAAAGTTTTAACTTTGAATATGAAACATTAAATAATTACAAACTTGTAAATGTGTGCAATATTTTTTTTAAAAAAAATAGAAAGTAATTATTTTAAAGCAATATTTGAATATATTTTTTAAATGTTCAAAGTGCTTTCTGTGAATGTTTTGTCTGAAAAGGGGTGGAGCTTCTGAGCTTCTGAGCTTCTTAAGAATGTTATAGCCGTCCACCTCGCGACTTTGTTACGAGTGATGAAATTGTCTGCTGGTAAAAGTTAATGTGGTCTCAGTAGGTTCAATGTTGCGGACACAATCCTGCAAAGATTTACAAATGTCCGGTGTAAACTTACCGTCCCGCTTACCGTGGAGTTCAGCACAGGCTTCATTTTTGTAACGATGTACCACCGTGACATCAGCCCACCCTTCTGCTTTGAAAAATTGCATTTTTCATCCGCTTTGGTGTTTTTTCATCAGTTTGGACGAAAAACTTGGCCTGGCGCCAAAACGGTCCTCCAGAGAGCCAAACGGATGTAATTTTTGTCCAAACGGCTCCAACTCGACGACTAACTCCTTCAAAACATTACAAAAAAATATTTTTAATTTTTTTTTATCAAGTCTAATTCCACATTTTTTTTTTCACACCCTTAATAAGATTTGGCAGGATTTGCACCACCGGGTCTGTTGTCTGCGAGTGACCCTTAAGATACCCTGAAAATCTCAAGTCTCCAGCCCAACTCCTTTTTGGGGAACGGACAGACAGACACACACACACACAGACACTAGGTCGATTACATAAGCCCGCTTTTGAAGCTTTTTCAAAGAAGAAGGGAGGGCTAAAAAAGAGTTCATTTCGGTTTGTATAATGTGGAAAACTTTCCTTAATAATTAACTATTTGCTATTCATTTTTTCAGGAGGAACGCAGTTCAGAATGGAGAACACAAGTACGATCCTAGAGCTTTTTACATTTTTTCATCCTGTATAAAAAATGTTTAAAAATAAATTTCGTTCTTTCTTATTAAAGGTACAACTTCACTAGTCCTAAAACCAACATTTGAAGAGTTTCAAAACTTTTCTGAATTTGTCGAGGCCAATGCTTCGCTTATTTTGAGCTCTGGCTTAGTAAAGGTAAGATTATTATATCGAAAATGAACCAGATATAACTTACCCGTGGTCAAGTTCATGCCCACTTGCGTCCAGCAAGCGCTACATGCACGCAGTCATTCATATTGGAACCTTACTGCGACACAACCAGGCACATGCTCGGTGTTACGGCGCTAGTGGCTGACTACTTGCAGCTGAAAGTTTGTGTGTCGAGATAGGCCTAACTCTAGCAAGTCAACAGTAAGCATGGGCGTTGGGGCGGTAACTGATTACTAGTAGTGAAGAGAGGTTTCAATTCCTCAGCTCGTTTTTGGTTGTGTGTCACTATGAATTTACTTGAAACCAGATTTTTACGAGCTGTTATCCATTTGGATTAAAAAAAAACATTGTCTTAACCCACAACCTTCTAAAATAGAAAAAAACCGCCTTGTTCTTTCAAGTTTTTTTCGCGCTATCATTGGTTTTTATTTGAGGTGGTTTTTATTAATTTAATTTTAATTGCTGTTGTTTGTTTTTAGGTCATACCCCCAGCGGAGTGGCAACCTTCAGTTGAAATGGACAAGAACAATTCAAGAATAAATAAGCCGAGATTTACTTTACTGTCGCCGATCCCTTCTACCAACCACTACCAGACAAACACAACAGCGGATGACGGACAAATGGAATTACTTGCGTATAATGATCTTCTGGAGAAAGAGTAAGGATTTTTTTTTCTTTAAAATGGGAAAGTATGAAACCACGTGATAGTGCCCCTCAGTGAAAAAAATATAAATTCCATGCGGATGAAATATTATTTTACCAATGAGGATGGCGACTGACACTTTCGTCCGCCAGGTTCGCGCCCCATAGCGGGCCATAGCGTCCAGCCGCTGACGGCTGCGGTCCGGCCCGACATGCGCGTAGATATGAGCTTCGTATTCGAAAACCAGAAGTCGTATCAAAGTGCGGCAAAAAGGAATGTAAAGTTCAAGGTCAGGCGGAAAATCGGAAAATGTAGGTTGATAGCTCGTCTCCTAGCATGAGAAAATACGGGTTGAAAAAGCTCTTGTGATTTCGAAAAACAGCCTATTTTGCCAAACGGCCCTGATCGAGTACAAGGCCTTCAATCACATAAGGAACTATACCGTTGTGATCCTCACACTTTCACCTTTATTTTGATGGTATGGTCGATGTACTTTGTTTGAGTTAGGTACCCAAGAATGCAATTTTAGTTTATGCTCACACACGCTCCGCCCGGCCGGCGGCGCGGTATGGGACCAGTGCTCCCAGCGATCCTGGCGGACGAAAGTGTCAGTCGCCATCCTCATTACACAAGGGTAATGTGACGCGTGGTTGGTTGTTTGCTTTTCTTTCACAGGCCAGTTGTTGGCTGAGTGATAGCGAAGCCTTTTACTCCACTGATCAAAGAGTTCGTCTCCTGTTTGTTTGTTTGTTTGTTTTTCTGTCTGTGAGCGGTATAACTCGAGAAGGGATTTAGCTAGGGACTTCAAATTTTCAGGGTCGGGTTGTAATGTAAAAAGACAGGTCGAGTTCGAATTTGAGAATGATCGGTCAACATTTAATCCATTTATAAGATACTTTTAAAAAAGCGTAATACAAATTCGAAAAAAAATTATTATATGCTTGATGGACTAAAAAGGGTTGGTTTTGAAAAGAGGGGGGTAGTTCCTCATCCAATTTTTGATTTAAAGCCTCCTTTGCTTACATTGAATACAACTTCATTACCTTGTGGTTTTTTAAACAGCTTTTCACCCATTGCTGCTGAATCTTCAGAAGATCCTAATATTTTTTGGAAAGCATTGCCTTACGTGGGTGCAGTGCCGTACAGAGTGGACAACACGAGGTCGCTCTTTACACGACAGAACAAGGTTACGTAATATTTCATAAAAGAAAATACAAATGACTTTTCATCCAAGGATTTTTTTCAAAAAGAAACTGTTTTTAATTTCAGATTTGGAATTTGAACTACCTCAAAGATCCTTTTAGCACATTTGCTAAAATGACCAAGGCATTACCTCCCCGTATGTTTACGTGGGGTCCCGCTTCTCAACATTTGCGGCGCATAAGGAGGACCTGGACCTGTGGTCCATTTCGTACTTGCATGAGGGATCCCCCAAGCAGTGGTAAGAAAATGAAGCTTTGTAAAAGCATAGTGTTTCTGGACCACCACAGGTCAGTTGGACGCCGCTGATAGAATTTTCTCGTTTGAAGCCACCAAATAATACTTTCTGGAGCATAGGCAACTGTGCCATGGGGCGGCTTACTCGGAAAAATCACGTACACAGCAATACAAAATACAAAAAATACTAGGGAATGCCAGAAATATGACAAATACGCAAAAAAAAACTGCAAAATACTCAGAAAAATTACAAAATACAAGGAAATACAAGTAATACCACGAATTACCAGAAATAACCACAAATACACTAAAATACGGGGGTATCTCGTTTTATCCACGGAATTTCTGATCCAATTAATAATCCAATTATATTGTCTTATTCTGAATATTGCATGTAGATCTTGGTATAATTTTGTCTATAAATGTGCAAAATATCTGTTTAAATTAAAACAAAAGTAAAGTAATTGCAATTGTTGACGATTAAACGGAATAAATGAAATTAGTTTGAAATGTAGCTGACTCGTCGACCGTTAAGCTGGATTTACGTGCTAATTGATGGAAGCAGATGGAAG